AGCTGAAGTTTGGCATTTATATAGTTTTAAGATAAGTTACTTGTGTCTATGATTTTACTTGTATTCTAATATTTACATGTTTGTACCATTGAATAAATACATGTTTTTGAGGTAGATATTAGGAATAAAATATTAATATAGTATAGGCTTATAGTCATGTTTTAGGTAGAGTTATGGTACAAAATAGTATACTAAAATGGTTTGTTGAAGGGAAATTTGAATTGAAGGTGAGATACATTATCAAAAGGAAAAAAAATATATAGGTAAATATAAGTATTTTGGATTGTGAAGATCATTCCAGAAGTGTATAGTGATCTTGCATGGGATACTTTTATGCCATGTCCTGACAATCTCCGCTGATTTCCTCTCTGATCCTGATCTGTTTATGTTCATTATACTGACACTTGAGCGTGGATTTGAAGGCTTCAAGATATGCTTAGAATTTCAGATACCATATTTTAAAAAGATTTTATTTATTTATTTATGGATAGGCATATTTACAGAGAGAGAGAGACAGAAAAAATTCTTCCGTATGTTGGTTCACTGCCCAAATGGTGTAACAGCCAGAGCTGAGCTGATCCAAAGCTAGGAGCCAGGGTCCTCACCCAAGTCTTCTACATGGGTACAGGGTCCCAAGGGTTTAGTCTGTTTTGCACTGCTTTCCCAGGCCGCAAGAAGGAGGCTGGATGGGAAGTGGAGCAGCCCAGGCATGAGCTGGCAGACATGTGGGATGCCGGTGCTTGCAGGTGGAGGATTTGTTGAGCCATCATACTGTCCCCCTAATTCCAGATTTCATTTCTGGATATATGATCTTAAACAAGTTACTGCTCAACCTCATTCGCTTTGCTTGAGAATGGGGTTAATACTTACCCCATTCTCAGTGGCAGGGATTAAATTGTATATGTGAAATGTTACTGATTCTGGGCCCACCGCGATAGCGTAATGGTTAAAGTCCTTGCCTTGCACACCTGGAATCCCATATGGGTGCTGCTTCTAATCCCGGTGGCCCCACTTCCCATCCAGCTCCCTGCTTGTGGCCTTGGAAAGCTGTTGAGGATGGCCCAAATCCTTGGGTCCCTGCACCACATCGGAGACCTGGAAGAGCTCCTGGCTCCTGGCTTCGGATTGGATCAGCTCTAGCTGTTACAGCCACTTGGGGAGTGAACCATCAGATGGAAGATCTTCCTCTCTGTCTCCCCTCCTCTCTGTATATCTGCCTTTCCAATAGAAAAAAAATATTGATTCCTAGAGTGTAGATTTTCTCATTAGTGAATTAATTTTAGTAGTTATTTAGTTATTTCTGAAAAATCACGTTTTTTCACTTTGAACAGAGGAGCAAAAGTGGAATTTAGTAGAAATGTTGATGTCTGGCTTTTTCTAATCTGGTTTTGTTGCAGCTGATTCTTTTTCCTCAGTGCAAAATGCTGCTTCGATCCCTAGAAAGACTTCTCGTATCATGGAACATGAGGGAAGGATGTCTTCCTGCTGCATTGTGTGCCCGGCACCTGGCCCAGGGCCTGGCGGGTTATGATGGGGCACCTCAGTTGATGTTTAAAGGAGGAAGGAATTCCTTTTAAATGAGAAAGCACTCTAGGTATGGAGAACATGATGGGAACTTGAGTGTTTTGTGAAGGTAATAGGTGTCTGGACTGGCAGATGAGAATAATTTTGTTTTAGCAATTATCTTTAAAGTCATTACGATGGATGCATTATAGGCACAGCTGTTTCATAAATAAATTGTGTATTTAAAAGGAAATGTATGCCAACCAATCTGAATTAAAGTGATCTGTTTTGCTCAGTTAACCTAGAAGGGAAGAGCAGGAAGAGGTGAAAACAGAATAGGATATATAATAGAGTCCATAATTAACTTAAGTAATTGTATCTTAAAGAAAATAAGACATTTTTGTGGAGAAATAGATCATCTGACTGTATCCTCTGCTTCTGCCTTTACTTCTGTTGTTCCAGCTTGGCCAAAACCAAGTACTAGACCCGTCCATATTGTCAGCCTTCTCTGTTCCTTAGTGGCATGGCTGTTGGTGGCTGCCAGGATCCCCACCGCGATGCCCTGCAGCTGTGCCTCTCAGTCTTCCCCCCTCATCTGTCTTCCAGTGTCACCAGATCTTTCTGTAATGAATTCGATTGTTAGTCCCCTCATTGAACTCGCAGTCTACAGAATAAAAATCCAAATTGCTTAGTATGAGAAACTGTTTTTAGAAATCTAGCCTCTTACCACTCTTACTTTTTTTCATGTGCTGTCTGTATTCCAGACACATTGAACCACTTCCATTTCTGCGTGCTCCATGGTTATTTAAAAAAAAAACAAACAAACTTATTGAACATAAGACGTTTCTTCAAGTGTGATCTTTGACTACAGATCATCTTGAATTCTTTAAGTTTACCTCTTTGTGTCTTAGTCCATTTAAAGCAAAATGCTAGCCTGTCGTTTTTGACTTGAGAAGCACGGAGAGCACCCCATCACTGGCTCACTCACCCAGTTGCTGTGTGTTAGGACTTTAGTCCAAGTATCACCTGTGGGTGCCAGGGATGCTACTGCTAGAGCCATTACCTGCTGCTTTCCAGGATACACATGAACAGGAGGCTGGAATTGGGAGCAAAGCTGTGATATCGTATTCATTTAAATATTTACTGGTTTTCCTTTTAAAAAATGTTTGAAAGAGTTACAAAGAAAGAGGGTGGGGGGAAAGAGAGTGATGGAAAGAGAGTGAAAGAGATCTTTTAGATCTGGGCTGGTCCACAGCCAGGAGCCAGGAGATCCAGCAGCATCTCCCGTGGTGGCGTAGCAGCCCAAGCACTTATGCCATCTTCTGCTGCATTCCTGGATGTGCTCTCAGGAAGCTGGATTGTTAGTAGAGCAGGCAGGTTTTCTAACCAGTGCCCATATGGGATGCCTGCGCTTCAGGCAGGGGCTTTAACCACTGTGCAGCGGCCACAGTCCCACTTCCTTTATTCTGCATGAGATGACTAAGACACAGGACAGGTGATTTTTTTTTTAAAGATTTATTCATTTTTATTACAAAGTTGGATATACAGAGAGGAGGAGAAACAGAGAGGAAAATCTTCCGTCTGATGATTCACTCCCCACGTGACCGCAACAGCTGGTGCTATGTCGATCTGAAGCCAGGAGCCAGGAGCTTCTTCCCCTGGATCTCCCACTTGGTTGCAGGGTCCTACGGCTTTGGGCCGTCCTCGACTGCTTTTCCAGACCACAAGCAGAGAGCTGGATGGAAAGTGGAGCTGCCGGGATTAGAACCGGCGCCCATATGGGATCCCGGCGTGTTCAAGGCGAGGATTGTTGGCCGCTAGGCCACGCCACTGGGCCCAGGGCAAGTGATTTGTCCACAGTTCATTGACAACAGTTCATAACAGGGTTAGAAATAAACAGATATTTAACTTCTGATGATGAAATAACAGTGTTATGGCTAATTCTTGTCTGTTAACAACATTGAACTTTATTTGTAGAAATGAAAGGATATTTTAAAAAACACTATGGAATAGAAATCCTTTGAAATCCATTATATTTCTTCATAATATGCATTTTCCATGAAGTTTTCTAAGCCCCTGAAATATCTGATGACATTTTACTGTTTCAGGTTATTTATTTGAGGGTAAAGAGAGGGAGAGACCTCTATATCCTGGTTCATTTTCTAAATATCCACAGTGGCCTAAAACCTGACCTGGGCCGGGCTAATGCTAGTAACAGAGACTCAGCTCATGTCTCCTTGGTAGATGTTGGGAACCCATGTACTTGAGCCATCATCCACTGTCTTCCTTGGTTTGCACTAGCAGGAATTGGAGTAGGAATGGAAGCTGGGCACCAAATCCAGGCACTCTGAAATGGACATGGATATGCTAACCACTAGAACACATGTTTGCTTCTGATAACATTTTAAGGAGATAAAATTGGGGAGTGCACTTGATGTAGAGGCTGAGGTCCTCCTTGCAGTGCCCACATCCAGTAATGGGCTATTAGCGTTTGCATCCCAGCTCAGCATTCAGTTCCAACTTTCTGCAGTGCACTGCCTGCGAAGCAGCAGGTGATGGCTCAAGCAGTTGGACCTCAGCTCCCAGATGGAGTTTCCAGCCTGACCAAACTCCAGCCATTTGGGAGAGTGGTCCAGTAGGTGGGAACTGTGTCTATCTGCCTCTCAAATAAAGAAATAATATAAATAAATAAAAAGATGTGAAATAAGTTACTGGAATTTGTCAGTCTGCTGGACAGCCAGATTGGGAGTGAGTGTGGCAGTACTTTTCCATTACAGTATATGAGTTGTTCAGTAGTTATGTCAACAAGAAGTAGTTTTCATCAGTTTGACTTCAAGCCATAGAAAAATACAGTATGCTTTCTAATTTGTTAATTTTTGACAATTTAAATATTGGAATTCTCACATAATTCAGAGGAGTTTGACCAATACCTTAGGAAAACATGAAGACCAACACAAAAATAATCATTTGTTTTCTTATTTAACCTAGGGTGTTATATGTATATACATTTAAAAATGATGTGTGTGGATTGATAGATTATCTTAAATAGAAGATGGAAAGCCAAATTGTGAACATTCTGCTTTTCCTTTTCTGGTTTCTTGGTTCCTTTTAAAAAAATTTACAATTTAATTAAACTGGATTGTAAAAGAATAGCACTTTCTGTTCTGTGATTTTTAGTTTTTTTTTTTTATGTGGGGCTGTTGTGACTTTTCTGTAAGGAATAATTACTAAATACATAATGAGTTGTATAAGAAGAAATGGCTCAAGATATGGTAAATTTTAGTTGTAATTCCTAGTTGCAGTTGGCTAATATTGGAACTGGATTGTTTTCAGTGAGTTGTGTTTGTGTTTTACACTTTGGATGTAGAGAATGGTAGGCATGTTTTAAACCTCTAGTTGAAGTGAATCTCAAGTTGAGTTGCCTGTTCTTTTCAGCTACGTTCTGTAGTCACGGCCTGAGATTGGGCAGTAACCAGTTGCCCGTTTCTCTGTTGCAGATCCCTGCATGACACTGAGTCCACCGTGCTTCACGGAAGAAGACAGATTTAGTCTGGAAGCTCTTCAGATGATACACAAACAGATGGATGATGACAAGGATGGTGGAATTGAAGTAGATGAAAGTGATGAAGTAGGTGGAAAACTTCTTCTGGTTTTCTCTTAGAACACAATGACCAAGTTTCTGGGCTTAAGGTTTTTTCTTTATTCCTCATGGATTCCTTCATCTTCATCATCTTCAGTTTTAGCTTTTTCAATTTAAGTTTTGTCCTGTGCATTTACATTTTGACGTCTCCCCTCCACCTCTGCCCCTACCCTGCTTGTCTGTATAGGTCTTGCTGGCTTTATTATTATTATTGTTATTATCTTCTATCGTATTTCTGGATCATGTTTTAATTGTGTCAGTTACCTATTGCCGCTTTACGAATCACACAAAACTTCTCAAAGTGACAGCAGTTTATTATTTCAGCTTTTCTGTTCCTTTAGATGTGGACTGAGGTCATTGGGAAGTGTATTCATTGGGAGCTGCTGGGCAGGAGTCGTGGAGGCAGCCTGATAGGATCTCTTTCTACATACCTGTCATTATTCAGAAGGCTAGCTCAAGCTTTATTCCGCAGGACAGCTGGCTTCCAAGTGGTAGTGTTCCCAGAGGACAAGTTCCCGTGCGCAAGTGCTTATCATGCCTCTGCTGCCAATATCAAATTGACTGAAGGAAGTCATTTGGCTCAGTTCAGAGTCTACATGGGAGATTGCCCCTGACACAGATAACCAAGACGTGTGCTTTGTTGGAGGCCACCGGCTTAGTTGTTTGCTATACCTGCTGTTTAGTTTTCAAGCTTTGCCATCTGCTTCCCAGCTCAAGTTTCACTTTTAGTTTCTTAATAGGGAGTTTTCTTTTTCTGTGTCTGTGTTCTCACTTTAACCAGAACCTTCAGTCATTTTTCAGGCCTCTTGAGTCTTTGTTGTGCTTATCACTGTTGAAATATTTCTTGTTTATTTATATAATACTCAGATTATTTTCTATGCCGTTATGAAATGTTATATATCAGAAACATCCTCTGATGTTCATTGTTATCTAACAGTGAAATTGTCTTAATGTTTTTTTTTTGACATGCCCCAAACATTCACTTTGAGAATGGTAATCTATTTTCAGTTACTTCTGATTGAAGTCTAAGCCAGTTCACACTCTGACCTGAGTTTGTTGCTTTTTGCCTGGCCTTTTTACAGTGCTGTTATTTTGATTTAAACTTAGTACTTGTAAAAAACAAACAAAACAAAACAAACCCTTCAACTCTCTAACTTTAAATTTCTTGTAGTAGGTATAAGGTACATAAAATTAAGTTACTGCTTGGGTTGTTTGCATCTTCCCACATTGAAGATGCTTGATTCTAGTCCCAGCTGCTGTGCTCTGATCCAGCTTCCTGCTAATGCAGAAGACAGCAGATGATGGCTGTAGTACTTGGATCCTTGTCACTCACATGGGAGATCCCGATTGAGGCCAGGTCATGGGTTTGGTCCAATCCTGGCTGTTGTGGACATTTGGGAAGTGAACCAGTGGATGGAAGCTCTCCCTTTCTCACCTGATTTCCTGTCTTCTTCTCTCTGCCTTTCAAATAAAAGAAAAATCTGGTCATTCAGTGGCACTTTTTGGCCAAGCTGAGTTCAAAGCTGGGAGCAGAGAATCAGTTCAAATCTCTTGTGTGGTGCAGAGGAATCCAGTTACTTGAGGCATGACTGTTGTGTTCCAACATCTGCATTAATTGTGATACTCCAGTGTGGAGTGTGAGTATCCCAATTTGTGGGTTTTTTTTTTTACACTACTGATTCTGCTTATTTGGAAGCCAGAGTGACAGAGAGAGGAGAAACAGAAGCAAAGAAATCCACCATCCACTGAGTCATTCCCCAAATGACTAGAGCTGCTGTGTCTGGGCCTGGCTGAAGGCAGGAGCCTGGAACCTCATCCAGGTCTTTCAGATGAGTGTCAGCACTTAAACCATCCCTTCTTGCTTTCATATATACATCTGCAAGGAGCTGAGTGGAAGCAGAGTCACTCGGGCCCCAATGAACACTGCAATGTAGGATGCTGGTGTCTCAGGTGTAGGCTTACCACACTACGCCATTTGTTGGCTCCTCAGTTGAGGTGTTAGTGTTAGACTAAAATGTTAAGCTAAATGCCTCCTATTCATAGCATTTATTATAGAATGTATTTTATTAAAAAAGTTAAAACTGGAAATGTGTATTAAAAATTGAAGTCTAGGATTCTGTTATGATTAAACTTTATATTTAAGAACATAATCTTTCTATATTTCTTTAATATAATGTTTCAGTGCAAATTTAGTATTTCTTGATGTTAGTACCTAAAAGAATGCAGAAATCTACTGTCTGATATGAATATTAAGCCTTTGAAGCTGAGATGTATTGTAAATGTGAAATGCACTTAAATTATATAGGGACTGGCATGGTGCAGTGGGTTAGGCCATATGTTTGCCTGCATCCATTGCTTGTAGTGTTAAAATTGTTCAAAGTGTTAATGAGTTTCCATTGTTGTCACTTAACACACCAACACTTCTGAGAGCAAAAACAAATGAAATGAGTTTCTGGAGCCCAGCGGTAGTTCTAATAGCCCATATATTTGTTGAGTCTGTTTTTATTATCAGTATTTGTATCAGTAAAAAGTTTTTGACTTTGTACTCCATATTGCTATTTTTTAAAAAGATTTGTTTATGTATGTATTTGAAAGGCAGCTTTACAGAGAGAAGGAAAAACACACAAACACAGAAAAAGAAGAAAGAAGGGAAAGGGAGGGAGAGAATGAGAGAGAGAGAGACAGACAGACAGACTGACCGACCTACCTTCTGTTTGCGGTTCATTGCTCAAGTGGCCATAATGGCTGGAGCTGGACTAGTCTGAGGCCAAAAGCCTGGAGCTCCTGGTTCCTAATACAGGTACAGGTCCATAAGGTCTTATGCCATCTTACTTGCCTTTTCAGGCACGTTAGTCGGTGCTGGATTGGAAGTGGAGCATCTAGGACTTGAACCAGCATCTATAAGGGATGCTGACACTGCAAGCAGGGGCTTAACACTCTTTACCATGGCGTTGGCCCCTTTAAATGACTCTATATACATATTGTGTATTTGTACATAATGTATTTTCCATGTATATAAACACACAATTACTGTGTTAGTATTAATGCAATTTAAAATACAAAAATACAAAATAAAAATGAAATAAAATAAATATAGATATAAGTTGTAATATTTTCTCCTTCTTAAGTGGATCCAATTGTTTTTCCTTGTGGGAGCGGGGCAGTCCCTCTGCTTCTTTGCTAATGAATGTAAAGCAAGGTCAAGTTTTAAGTCATACAGACTTCATTCCAATTTTATCACAACGGACCGACATTTTTTCAAGAAAGGAAATTCCAGAGAGATACTGCTAATGATTTTTTAATTCCCTGCTGCTGGTTGTCACTGTATGCAAGTTTCTTACACATAGGACTCCAAGTACTTTTATTTTTGTGATGACTACTTACTTATCATGATTCCAGTAAGAAGTAGTAATGTAAGGAATGTCATGGAGCTCACCGTGTGCCGTTTTGGTTGCCGCTCTGCTTCCTTTTGCTTAACTGCAGTTTAAAATTACATGAGCCCCATCCTCTCTTTTCCCCTTTCCCTGTCCCATCTGTAAACATGTGTTTTGGAAGTAAACTAGGGAAAAAATTGGAGCATTCTAATACTTGATATATAATCTAGGAACTGATGAAGAGCTTATAAGATTATTGTAGCCAAATCCTCGGACCTCAGTGGAGAGGAGTAGATGAAAAGGGAGTTGGCTCAGTTCTGAGAACTTGCCTTAAGGAATAGAGCAAAAATATTTTTCCTGGATCAACAGCAATATCTTCACATGAAAATGTGTTAGAAAGGCAAACAGCCAAGCCCCAGCCCAGCCTGTTTGAATCAAGAGCCCAGGGAGGAATCCTGTAATCTCTTTTAACAAATCCTCTGGGATGAATCTGTTGGCCACATGAAATCTGAGAGCCATCAAATTAAGCCTTCTGGACACTGAAGAGCTTGAATTCTTTATTTTGACCTTTTGGAACCCAGAGTTACAGATCCTGTTCCTTTTTTAAAAATAATTCTCTCCAAGAAGCAATGGTTCATGGTTGATTCTTTGTACTTCAATAAATGTTACTGTTTTTTCTTTATACTTTGATGACTTTTTTTTTTACATTAGTCACAGTCCATTGGCTACTGTGAAAATCTTGAGAAAATATTTCTATTCCTGTAATTGGTGATTTTATTTTTGACAAAGTCTACCTTGAATTTTTTTTTTATGTTCTAGAGAAAATTAGGCAATTACTATAAAGCAAGGCAGTACTTGTATTTTTCTGGGATGAGGAAGGACTTTTGGTTATTAAGAATCGTTGTATAACTTATTGAGACAGATCTTAAGAAAGTGTCTTCTTATTTTATAATTAGAGTATGTCTTAAATTATGAATCTGCCCTGTCTCCGCATTTATTTAATTTAATATCCACACTGTTATGTCATGCCTTACGATTATACTAACTTTCCTGGGCTCACTCCTGATCTGTTGATTTTTCAGCTCATTACCAACTGCTGCTGAGTTATTTTCCCATTTGCGACATTATAATTATACGAGGACTGTGCGTGACAATCAGGATTTCCCAGGCACACGAGTCATATAGTTACCCTCATTTTTCTGTTGACCACAGACTTCTGCTTTCTGTTGTACTGTTGGCTTATGTCTTGTTCCCTCACCAAGTGTATTAAATGGATCTGAGTGTTGTTGACAAAATTTGTGCAGTTGGTAAACCTTGGACCTACTTCAGATTAATGCATCACTCCAAAGTCTGTGAATATTGCACAGCGTGTTTTCCAGTAACATGACAGAGGCACTCAGAAATCTTCCTGTTCCTTTTTCCTTTTGCAAGTTAGATGATTTTTTTTGTCTTTTTTAATTCTTCAGATAAAAAATATTTTTTTACTGATCCTTTCATTGATTTTTCGAACATATTTTTAGTGATAGATTTTATTTTGGCTTTTTGAAAACTCCTTGCTTTTTGTGAGAAAATTCTTTCCCTTGCATTTTTGAGGTGTAATTGACCAAAAAATGT